CGCCCCCCCCCGGGAATGAGGGCCTGGGCTAGGACCCCCTTGTCCCTCCCTGGGGCTGAGGGCATGGGACCCCCCTGCCCCTTGTCCCCCTCAGGGCTGGGACCCCTTGTGTCCCCCCAGGGCTGAGGGCCCAGGCCTGGCTCCCTTATCCCCGCTTGGGGCTGAGGATCCAGGCTGGGCCCCCCCTGCCCCTTGTCCCCCTTGGGGCTGAGGGCCTGGGCCCAGGACCCCCTTTTCCCCCCTGCAGCTGAGGGCATGGAACCCCCTTGTGCCCCCCGGGGCTGAGGGCCTGGGCCAGGACCCCCCTGCCCCTTGTGACCCCCGGGGCTGAGGGCCAGGGTTGGTCTCTCCTTCCCCACCCTCACACCTCTGCCCTCTCCTTGCAGCCTTCAGCGGGGTGAACGAACGCACCTTCGTGGCCATCAAACCGGATGGGGTCCAGCGGCACCTGGTCGGGGAGATCATCCGGCGGTTTGAGAGGAAGGGCCTGCAGCTGGTGGGGCTGAAGCTCCTGCAGGTGAGCGGCCTGGCCGGTACGGCCGCTGGTGGGGTGGGGGATCCACCCGGTGCCCAGGGGCTCAGGCTGGAGCAAGGCCCGTGCGGCCCCGCAGGCCCCGGCTCGGCTGGTGGCTGCCGGGGGGTTTCGGCTTGCTGTTGTCGTTCGGGCACCAGATCCTTGCAGCTCAGGGGGGTGTTGGCACCCCGGTGCCTAAACCGCTCCTGGAGGAGCGATTCCCGCTGTGGGGAGCGTGCCTGCCCTTCGCCACATCCGTGCTGCAGGGCTCTCATACGTGGCTGGATGAAGCTGGTGTTGCTCCTCTGACCTAGAAACTTTTCCCCTCCCTGTGTCGGGCTTCAGCAAAGTCAAGGCATTTCGCTCCTAGAAGTTCACGTCTGTGCAGGAGTTTAGTTGTAACGTGCACTATCCAGCTTTAACTCCATCTCTCGGGTGCGGACCTTGCCCAAATCCCCCCTGCTCAGAGCAGACTAAACTTTGTCCTCTTTGTGCTCAGGCCTCGGAGGAGCTGCTGAAAGAGCACTACATCGCCCTCCGTGACCGTCCCTTCTACAGCCGGCTGGTGAAGTACATGAGCTCTGGGCCCGTGGTGGCCATGGTGAGTGCTGGCCAGGTTCTCCCTGAACCAAGGAGTAAGCGCAAAGTACAAGCGGCCTTGGCTTGTGGCACGATGGATGGCAACAAGGTGGCCTCTCTCTTCAGAGGGCCTCTTGAAGCCGTACTGAACTGCAGGGGCGTTTTCTGCGGGACATTAAATCCACAGGCAGTTCTGATTATTTTTCCAAAATCAACTTTTGAAGACTATTTACAGAGAGACCCCTTCCTGTCTCTCACCCGGGTGGGTCAGGTGGGGAATTTGGAGGACAAGGCGATAGGATCTGCTGGGGGAGTTGTGGAAGCTGATTCTTGTTTTGTTGTCACGTAGGTCTGGCAGGGCCTGGACGTGGTCAAGACAGTTCGCACAATGATTGGGGAGACTAACCCGGCCGAATCCAGGCCTGGCACTATCCGAGGAGACTTCTGCGTCGAAGTCAGCAAGTGAGAGCTTTGGCTTTTTGTTCCCTCGGTATTTCAGGGCATCCAGGCCAGGCCTTCCTGCGCAAGGCCTGCCCGAGCCATGCGAGCCTGCATCCGCAGAGCACAGCTTCTCCCCTCTGTGCTCGGATCGGAGCTGTCTCCTGCTAGCAGCTTGCTGAGCAGCCCTGGGAGGAGGCGCTGACCTCCGCCTCCGGGGCTTGGCTTTGTGCCTTTCCTGCCTCCTGAGGCCTCTTCTGTTGAAAGCAGGTGGGGTTTGCTTGTCTCTTGCTCCAGGGAATCAGGACTGTCAGGCTGTGAAGAGGAAGGGAGGAGCCCTCTCAGCCCTTTCCTGGGGGAGCAGGGCACCTGGAGAGCTGCTCTAGCTCCACTGGGCACCTGGCTCTGTAACAAAAGCCAAGCGGGAGCTCTACATGCGGTAGGGCTCTTCACTGGTGAAGATTCACTGGCTGCGACCTCGGCTGGCTGCAGCCTGGCTTGTGGCAGACACTGCTTTTATCGAACCCTCCTGGATTAGGTTTCTGTTCCGTGGTGTCTGGTACCAAACCTGCTTCGTAGGACCTGCTTTGACAGAAGGAATGGGGGAAACCTGGAGGCAAAACTTGAATTACTGACATAAAACCAAGGCAAACCCCAGATCAACAGCCACTTGCAGCTCCTCCTGTAGCAAAGAAATGGTTCCTCATCATGGGAGGAAGGAGTGACAGCTCCTGCGCGTTCGTGACCTGAGCCATGGTCAGCGTAACCACGAACAGCCCCTGAGCTGGAAGGAGGAGGGCTGTAAGGCGGGAAAGAACATTGTAGGATGTGACTGACTCAATTGGTTTCATTAAATTGGTCAGGGTGAAATTTTCCAAACTGTACCTTCCCTCTCCTGCATTTCTTTGCTTAGTCCTGGCTGATCCCTTTCTTCTTCCCCACAGGAATGTGATCCACGGCAGCGACTCGGTTGAGAGTGCCCGGCAGGAGATCTCCCTCTGGTTCCGCCCGGAGGAGCTGACTTGCTGGGAAGACACGGCCGAGCACTGGATCTACGCGTAAGAAGAGCAGCCCGAGGGAAGTACGTCTTCCCGACTGGGCACGGGGCGTTTCCATCCACTTCATCGCAGCTGCTTGGGCTGGCTGTGGATCCTGCTGTGGTGGCGCGTGCTGCGGGGGTTTCTGTTCTGCGTGTGGGTGGAGGGGTCCTGGGAGCTGGTCCGCATGTGTAACTCTGCAGTTCAGCTCCCTGCAAGAGTAGCTATTTCTTTTTTTATTCTCTCTCTTATAGTAAGTAGTTGATATTGTTGCTCTGTTTGCTGCAGCATCTTAAATCCCAAATAGCTCAAGGTGATTTATTGAAGTGAAAACCGGGCTCCGTGCCCGTTCCTGTGTGTTCTCAGACCTGCCTGGCACAGGAGAACGTGTGCTCCTCGCCGCTGGGAGAGGTGCTCTGGTCACTGCAAGGTGATGTGATATCATCTACCTGCATTTCTATAAGGTTCTTCACCAAAGGCTTTTAAAGAATTTGGCTGCTATGGGATAAGGGGGAAAGTTCCCTCCTGGCGTAAGAGCTTGTTCCAAGACAAGGAATGAAGGACAGGACAAACGGCTCGCTCTCCCTTGGTGGGAGCTCTGTGTGCCAGGGCTGGCGCAACTTCACCCGCCTTCAGACGTGATGAGCGAGTCTGTGGAAGGACAATTCACCAAATGCTGTTAAACGCACAGTTTCTCTGGCTCCGGTTCCTGGCTGCGGGTACTGGGAGCGGGGGAGTGGCTTTGCCAGGTCTGCTCTGGTTCTCTCCGGGCCTCTGCTGCTGGCTGCACGGCCCCTGGCCTGACCCAGCACGGTCGGTCTCGTGCTGTGCCTCCGTGGCGACTGATGCACGCTAGCGAAGCAGCAGCGCTGTGCCAACCACAGGAATAAAGCGGGAGAGCGAGGTGGGGAAGGACGTGTAGGAAGGAGGAGGACAACCATTTAGTCCTCTCTTGTGCGCGGTGCAGGCTGTGGAGCCCTGGCACTGAGCTCTGGGAGATCCTGAGATCTTCCTTGTCTGATAGTGGAGCTTCCCTGCTGGGAGGGTTTCTGGAACAGTTGGACAACACCTTGAACCTGCTGTGAGCTCTCCCTGGAGCACCAAACTCCTCTGAGCTGTGTTGTGTTGCACTGAGCATAAGGACAAGGCCAGCGGTGTTGCACCCTGAGGTGGAGGCTCAGATGTTTTGCCCGTTGCCCTAAAAGCGGGTCTCTCTCTTGCTCCCTGGCTTCGTGGCTGCTGGGGAATGAGCACGGTTTGCTCCAGACTGGCCCCGAGGGTGGCAGGGCTGAGGTGGGAAGCACCGTCAGCGACTCGGGAACGAGCGCTGAGGGGAGGGAGGGTCTCCCTGCTACATCACAGAGTCTGTTTGTTCCGGTAACTCGTCCATTTGCTTTTTTTATAATAAACTCTGCTGTCCCATCGTCTCTCCCGCTGGTTATTTTCGACAGGGCGGGGGTGGGGGCCGACGCCTGGGG